AAGTATATCTGTTGTATTATGTGGATATCAAATAGTCTTCTCTACCACAGGATTTTTAAAAAATCTGTTTCAGAGGCACAGTGCTAAGATTAAGCTCTGATAAGGTTGAAATGATAATACACTTGCTCTTACATTGTTCTAAGCTGAAATTCTCTCCTGTTTGGAAGAAAAATACAAGTTGGCGTCTTTGCAAATTGTTTTTTTCTTTTTGATAAACTGTTAGTCTCTGGTTAAAATTCTTGACTCTGAGTAGTTGAAAAGATAGGCTGGTTTCTCAAACTTTGACAACCCAGAGTCAATTGCCTCTTATCTTAGCCCTGAATCCCTGTGAAATTATGTCCTACTCTCTGTAGTTGATAGGAATGTTTTCACATGAAGAAACAGCCCAAGTCTATAAAAGAAAAATCTGCTGTGGAAGTTACCCATTGGATTAAAAAAAAATGGCATATACCTTTTTACGGTACAGCAATGACTTCATTGTATTTTCTTAAATTTATTTTACTTGTTTATTAGAAATATCAAAGTTAGATAAAGTATTAGATTTATGTATTACTTTTTTTACGTAATATTACATTTCAGTGACTCATTTTATTGTAAACTGCCTCTGTTTTATGAGAATAACTTGATTTTTAGAAAAAAGGAATCTCTCACTAATTGTTTGTTGATAGCTACTTAGATGTTTTTGCTGCCTTCTGCCTGCCAAACTTGTTTCTGTGTGATGCCCCTCTGCTATGCCACTCTGCCTTGGAGACAGCCACCTATGAACTGAAACTTCTACAAAGTTTAAGCTCAATAAGCCTTTCCTCCTTTAACTTTGGCTGTTGGGTATTTCGTGTCAGCAATGAGAAAAGTAACTAAGACAGATGGATAAACAGCGTAAGTCCAAAATATCTGTTAGGAAATCTAACCTCAAAGGAGTTGATAGCACTGCTTTGGTCATCTTTATCTAAAAGAATTCTTGCTGGGAAGCTTTGTGGATAATTTTCTTTAAAAAACAAACAGGTTCAGGGTGAATTGGCATCGGAGCATTTGAGATTTAATTGATTTTTGTTGGCTAACAGGACTAGGCTATAATTGTATACATCCTTATTGGTGAGGTTGTTTAGCCGGGGATGTGTGGTTGATACTACAATCTGATTTTATAGTACAAGCTGGTTTAGGAACTCCTCTTCTTATAATCTTCCCTGGATAACAGTGAAGTCACACTACAGAGTTTTTAAGAGTTTGGGCTCTCATGTAGTTGTCCTGCAAACAATCCTTTAAGGTTAGCCTATTTTCCAAAGAGAGTAATTTTTAAGACTTATCAATTTAGTTAATACTGCGTTTTAGTCATTCCTCTTAAATACTATTCTCAGGCCAAATTGATTATACTAGTCATGTACAGTGCTGAATTGCTTTTTGTTTTGTTTTGGTACTGGGGATTGAACTAGGGCCCTTGTGCTTGCGCTTGCACGGCATTCAGTGGAACCACTGGGTTAAATCCTTGGCCCTAGTGCTAAGTTTTTTAATTTTTGCACTTTGGCCTTTATAGTGATCTCATTTTTGCAAAGTTTTACCATATTATACGAACAGTGCCATTTCTAACATTGAATAATGTAATAGAATGACCTATTTTAGTGGTCCTTTTAATAAAGATTAGGCCATGTATACAATTTTATACAAATAGTTCTGCAGAACAAGATATATCTGTAAATTTTTACAAAAAATACTTGTTACCCCTCCCCAGCTGTAGATAACACTCATTTTTCTTAAAAGATTGTGGAGTCAAATTAAAAGATAAATATACTGTTAAAAAGTCAAGGTCATGCTGGGGATGTAGCTCCGTGGCACAGTGCCTGCCTGACAAGCATGAAGGTCCGAGTTCAATCCTCAGTACTGAAAAAGTACAGGGCCAGACAATGTGAGGCAGGGTTATAATGGCTATAATCCCAGCACTTGGGAGGCTGAGGCAGAAGGATTGCTGTGAGTTCAAGGTTGGCTTGGAATATGTTGATACCCTATCTCAAAAAAACCAAAAAAGTGAAAGTCAGGAGGGCAGGGTGGTGCTTGCCTGTAATCCTAACACTCAGGCTGAGGCAGGAGAACTACAAGTTAGACCCCAGCCTTGACAACTTGGTGAAGGGTTTGGGGATATAGCTTAGTGCCAAGGCCCTGGTTCATTCCTCAGCACCACAGAACAAACAAAAATCAAGTTCAAGTTTTTAATTACTCACTAAGGAAGAAACTTCTGAACATCTAAGTGAGTGAGCTCCAGCATGGTAATTATTACCATGTTTCTAATGTTCTAGATCAACTAATCATTATAGTAAGAGTCTTGTTGCTCTGAGGAACAGCTGATAAACTCTTCAAATGAGCTAGCATCTTTGAACTTAGTGTCAGTATTTCTTCTCTGTAAATGTACAGCATCCTGAAACTGTCTCAGTCATAGTCTAAATGAATAGTTCAAAAACAAAAATAGCTCTTGATTCTGCAATTTGCTACAAATCTGGTCCTTGCCAAAGAGGAGATGTTAAGAAATAACAGGCACCAGAGACATCAGGTTCAGAAGCATATTTTAAAATTTATTTTGAGCCGGGGATTTAGCTCAGCGGTTCGGTGGCCTGCCTTGCAAGCAAGGACTGGAGTTCAATCCCCGGCACACCCCAATAAATAAATAATAAATAAAAGTTATTTTGAGACTAGGTTTGGCCATATTTCCCAGGATGATTGCAAACTCATGGGCTCAAACAATCATGCTTCTTTCTCTTGAGTAGCTGAAAGTATAAGCACATACTTACCATGTCCAGCACAGAAGCTTTTTATGAAGACAAAAAGTATTCCATAAAAGTCTCAACATAATTTCTGTGTGTCATTGACTATGATGTTTTGCATAAAAATTTCTAGCCCTGGGCTGGGGATATGGCTCAGTGGTGCCACCACCTTCCTCACAAGCACAAGGACCAGAGTTCGATTCCCAGTACCAAAAAAACCAAAAAAAAATCCTAGCCCTAAATATAACAATAGTCTTAGATATAAGTATTTTTTGCTTAAATGCAAGGATGTTACCTGCATATTTTTTGAAAGTGAACACTGGAATAATAATGTGCATCTGATAAAGCTATCCAATATGTAATTGGAAAAGCAAAGTGCAGAACAGTTTTTCTGGCAAGAATTCCACTTGTGGAAAATATATCCATTTTGTCACCAGCTCCACGTTAGTTACATTACAATGATATGTATGCTTTTGGAAAGATGCACAACAAACTCTTGGCTGATTGTTAGGAGTGGCATAACATTCTAAGCAGAATGACTAATATTTATATGCTTTCAGAAGCTTTTATAATAGTAAATTCTTAGTAAAACAAGGATAAATCTTAAGTTATTTAGGTTTGAGGATTCTAGAGATACTGACATAAGAAATTTCTGTTGTTGGCTTTTAACTTCTGGTTTTTTTCTGCTTATTCATAAAGGAGTTGAGTAATTTCCAGAATTGCAAGCAATCCTAGATCATAATGTTGTATACTCTTTTTAGCCCTATTGTGGCATGATTTATCAATGATGCAGCTTTTGGTTAGTTTAAAAAATACAAATTAAAATGTCCCATATGAGGCATTACTGAGAATATACAGTGGTGGTAGTCATTTCTGAAAAAATCCAGGAATACTCTTAAAACTTGTCAAGTGGTACCCTATTAAAATACCTAAGTGAAAGGCTTGATTGGCTTTAGAGAGCCTCGTATTTGGTTATCTAAAAATGTTATTTTGTGTCTTTCACTTTTAAAACGATACCTAAAAAGTCCATATTTAACAGCAGTTCCCAAGCATAAATACTTGATTTTTTTCATGGATTAATTACTGTCTTTGTTCTGGTGATTTTAGATATTATGTTAAACTTAAGAGTAATATTGTTGTTCATTCCCTCTTGAGAGGTATGCACCTAAATAGTAGCAAATAAGAGCTATTTGACAACATAGGCACCCAAAAATCATAATTGTACACTAAATCGTGTAATTTTTGTTTTGATCTCACTGGGTCGCCAGAAGATTATAACTCATCCTTTACTGAGATATTCTGTCCATCCAATCTGAGGTTCTACAGGCTGATTATTGTGCTGGAATTTTGGGGTGGAGGTGCATTCTGGTCTTTCTAGACATTTGATAAAGTGAGTTGACATTGAAAACATCTTTCATCCTGGTCTGGATGGCCTTTTAGTTGTAACACTTTCAGCCACAGGACCATCTTCTTGTTTCTGTGTCCCAATTAAGGCAGAAGTACTTGCACGCTGGTGCTTGGACCCATCTACCAAGGTATTAAACACATTCATGCTCCCTATGCAGTATGGCGTTTTCTAGATGGCTTTGCCAGGAAGCCTCAGCAACAGCACCCCTCTCAGAAATTCATCTAAGTAAAAGCATTCTTTAAACAAGGGACATCTTTCTCACCTTTCAATAAGTCTCTCACTTCCTTTTTCTCTGTTCTACACAAACATTTCACAAGCAATGTAGTCAACTCACTATCTTAGCTCTTCAGATTTCTATTCAAGATATTTTGTGATTACCCTCCTACCCCTCATTATTCTGAAAACTAGTTTTTGTAATTATTTTGCAACATAGCCACAGAGACTCTCAGGATAGTTCGCCTTCTTGTCCTCTTATGGGGTAATGACACAGCCAGATGTCTCTGAAACGGGGGGTGGGAGAGAGCTATCAAGAAAACGTTGTTAATCTTCAAAAATACTTTAACACTTTTAAGTTTGCACTTGATCAGTCTGTTACTGAGCTTCCCATGGTTTACAAATAGTACAGTGTACATTTTTTTTTTTTACCTGTTTTTGCTAAAATAAAAGCTGCTTTGGTGATCTGAACCTTTCCCTCCTCATACTTTGCAATCATAGGATGTATACTTTAGTAGTTGTACCTTAGTAAACTTGAGATAGTTTGAATATAATCCCACATAGACTAGAATACAACTTCCTTGGCTCTCTCATATTCAAGGTCTGTCTTAATGAATTTTTTTTTTGTAATTTTACTTTTCTGCTTTTTTAGTTAAAATTCAAAAAAGACAGGAAAGTCTTCTGTTCCCCCAGCCAAACTGATGATTTCTTCTTCCTAGAGAAGATCAGTGTTAAATTCCAAATCCTTTTAGTTTTTTTATTAGTATCTAAGTTCAATGTATATTTATTTCTCCATATATATAATATAACATGTATATGGTGCATTACTTTTTTCCTTTTTTTATTCAAGTGTGTAGTATAGTTCTGAACCTTCATCCTTGGTTCACCAGTGTGTCTTGTGGCTCTGTCTACCGCCATAAATTGCTTCTTTACTTTTTTTTTTTTTACAGCAGTATAATATTATATGATATACTTAATTATACCAAGATAATACAGTAGCACACCCTTATATGCATTTTCAAATTGTGTTTTAAATCCTGAACCATCCTACTTGGGACATAAATTACTCCTCTGCCCAGCATATCCACACTATATGTGCTACCTACCCATTAATCACTAAGTAGTCATTTTACTTATCAGAGCAGCTAGTGAGGTATTATGGACACAAGGCCACATTCACATAACTTGTTTCAGTAATTGTTATAACTGTTCTATTTTATTAACCGTCTCTTACTGTGCCTAGTTTACAAATTAAACATATGTATTAGATATGCAGCACTTATAACAGTACATGTATATGTATTGTCTATAGTTTCAGGTATTCACTGAGGGTCTTGGAACATATTGCCTATAGATAAAAGGGGACTGCTATACCTTCATGGCTGATCATTTGTTTCCAGTCTTCATCATTATAAATATTGGCACAGTATAGAGAATACATTTTTTTTCCTGTGCTGGAGATTGAACCTAAGGCTTTCACATAGGGCTATATCACCAACCCATCCCTTTTTACTTTTTATTTTGAGATAGCTTCTTGCTGGTCCTTAATTTGTCCCAGGTTGGGCTCAAGCTTGCAATCTTCCTGCCTCAGTCTCCCTAAGAGCTGGGATTACAGGTGTACATCACCATACCTGGCTGTAATTAACTCTATTTGGCCTTTCTTCTAAACCCTATGTTCTTCTTTTTTTTTGGTCCATTTATCCAAATATTGAGTTCCTATAATATACTTCTATATCAAGGAGGACTTATCTCCCTTTCACTGTTAGGATTTATCATGTGAACTTTAAGCATGTTCTTTCCAAGAAAAGTTCACATTCTCAATCTGAATTCTTAGGTTACTTCCTTAGAGAAAAGTAACATTTTTATTCAAAAACAGTTCACGATCTATATTTATTTATTTTTTCACATTTTCTCTTCATCACAAGTATTCAATGAAGACATTGGTGGTTTCTGTTTTCTTCACTCTTCTGTTATATAACAGCAACAAACACAAATCACTCAATGTATTTTGTTTAGTAAATGAATAAATGAAAGAAGTTTGGAAACTTTCTGTTCTACTGATGAAGATAGGCTAATGATCATGGAGTTAGATTCTCAAAAAGTTATCTTAGTCTTTGTCAGAACACAGTACCAACGCCCACAGCCTTTAAAGGAGAAGAGACTTATTTTGGCTCACTCTTAAGTCCATCATAGTGTGACTCCAGGGCTGGGGATTTAACTCAGTGGCATCTTGGCTGCCTCGCAAACACAAGGTCCTGAGTTAGATCCCTGGTACCAGAAAAAAATAGAACCCATAGCCTGCCTCTGAGGCAGAACTGGCATGATGATAGGACTCTAGGAAGGAAAGCTGTTCATATCATATAGGCCAGGAAGCAGAGAATGAAGGGAAATAAACCATTCCAGCTCACTCCCTTGCTGACCTACCTCTAATCAGGCTCCATCTTAACATCACTTGTAGCACATTCATAGGACCCCCCTGATCCACTCACCATCCAAACACATGAGGCTTTGTGGGAGAGGACACTCCAGATCTAAACCATAAAACAGGTCATTGTGCTTTTAATATCCTTAATTGTGCTTTGAGTGGTATCTGAAAATCTTCAAATTAGTTTATTCCTGTCATTACTTCATTTATACTTTCAGTTTTCCACTTCTCAACCCTTCCCTTGAGTTCACTATAATACCATTCTTTTGACATAAATTTCTGTGAAAAAAATACACAGTTTCAAATTGACCGTGGGTGGGATTTGGAATCCCAACTCACTGGTAAATTGTGAATCCAGAGATCGTTTCTTGGCCTTTTGGCTAAGATCAGGTGTAAATTGAGAATCCAGAGAGTGAGCAAAGCTAAAGAACCACATTAGGACCTGGGTTTAGTGGTACACACCTGTAATCCCTGTTACTTGGGAGGATCCAGAGTTTAAGGCCAGCCTAAGCAATTTAGTTATACTCTATCTTCAAAATAGAAAGGACTGGGGATGTAGCTCAGTGTAGAGCTTGCATGCACAAGGCCTTAGAATTGGTGCCCCACACACAAAGGAATCAGATTGTTTAATTTTCATAGGGAAGCTGTGAAGAGATATTCCACAATTAATTCATATGTCCTATGGTGTAGAATAAAAGGAATCATTACTAAGTAGTAAAAGAAGGTACGATTCATGAAATTAAATGAAAAGTGTCAAGATATCTTAAAGGTTTTTTTAATCATTTTTCCTGTAGTTGCATTTTATAAAACTGAAAATATTCTTAGTTGAATTTTCCTCCATGCATATTACAATTTCATTAAAATATTCAGTGATGTGCCTTCTAATTGTGCTTTAATACTTTATACTTCTACAAGTACAAAGTTAAATCTCTTATTGAGATATTGGTTATATATAATTCAGAAGACCAGAAATATCCATGTTCTGCTGAACATGAAGACACTAGTTTAAATTGTTTTACTATTAATACTTCAAACTTTTTCCCTTTTCTTTTCTCATTAAGGATTTTGGACCCTACTTATAATATCCCTAACTGCTGGGTTCTCGTGTTGTAGCTTTTCTTGGACAGTGACGTACTTTGATTCTTTTGAACCGGGAATGTTTCCTCCTACTCCTCTTTCACCTGCTAGGTTCAAGTAAGTACAGTATTCCTGTTTCTTTCTTTTAAAAATTTTTTTCCCTAACTCATTTCAACTTTTTTGAAAAATCCTAAAAGAAACAAGAAGCTGTTCATTTATAATTCGGCTCCTCGCTCAGGGTAGCAGACACCTGTACCATATACTTTTCTAATCAAAATGTGTACTTCAGCATAACAGTAGTCGGTTAAGCAACTCAGTAGCTGCGCTTTGTGATCACCCACTCAGTAACAAATGACAAGATGTATGCATGTGTGTCGTAAGTGGAAACAGGTGAGTTTTATCCGTGTTCTATGCCATGTTACATTTTTATGTATTTTTATATATTTTTTATTAAATGTTTTCTTTTGATTTTTCTTGTAGAATTAGCCCAATTCAGTACAATATCATGTGAAAATCTGCTTTTACAACTTTGGGAGGAGATTGAAAGTGAGTCATCAGGTAACTTGGCTACCAATGATGACTTGGATCATGTAAGCCAAAGAAGTCAGCAAGATATAGAGACATACAAAATGAAGTCCTTGATTTAGATGAGGAAGAAAACAGTAATGTAAATAAATATCTGACTAATCAGAATGCTACAAAATGGTCACATAATGCCTGAACAATCCAATATGAGAACTAGTTCTAAAAATGTTACTAGCTTGCCAGGAATGAAACCTATTGGATGGAATGCCGATACTGTGATTCAGTGTTGGAAATTGTAACTGACAATATGCTACAAGATGTTTTGAAATGAACTAATAATGAAATACAAGTAAAACATTCTCTATGCATCAATAGTAATACTCAATAATATGTTTATGATGGCACCATATGAACTAAAAGCCTTTATAGCAGGCCTTTATCATTCTAATCATCAGAATCTAAAGAGTTTATGGAGAAGTGACAGATGTGGCATTGAGATTTTTAGAACAATGATGACAAAGAGATTTGGTTTCCTTCAAAATTGCCTTCATTTTGACTGAAAACAAAAAGACCCACCAAAAAAGAAAAATCTGACAGTTTGGCTGCATTTGCTCATTTTTTGAAAGGTCGAGTAATTTTGAACTGTCACGTAATTTACTATCTGAATACATGACAGCTGACAACAGGCATCATTTTGTGCTTTTTGAAACTTTGGCAATGTGTGCCAAATAAACCTTCCAAATATGATACAAAAATATATGCTCTGGTAGATTGAAGACACCTGACACCTTGAATTTAGAAATTTATCCTCAAGTTCAATCATCAGGTCTTTCTTCATGAAGTAATAAACCATATGACTGTGAACAGACTTGTTGCACACATTTCAATAAGTAACCCAAAAAACAAAAAAGTAACCCAAATGTCGCTTTTGACAGTTGGTTCACTATTTACCCATTGATACTATATTTGCCAAAAGAACAACAGTTGACCAGCACAGAAACTATTTGCAAGAACAAAGCAAAGAACAAAGGGGCCAGGGATTTAGCTCAGTGGTACCAGTGACTGCCTCGCAAGCACAAGGACCCAAGATCCCCTGTACATAAAGAACAAAGCCAAGATGCCTAAAAAAAAAAAAAAAAAAAAAAAAAAAAAAAAAAAAAAAACAAAAATAAAAAAAAAAAAAAAAAAAAAAAAAAAAAAATTGCAAGTTCGCAATAGAGAAATGTATAGTACAAGCTTTAGATTTCTGAAAGATATAACATTGGTCTCCTATGGCAAAGAAAAAGTGGTATTGATACTGTCAATATTACACTGATGATAAAATTGATAGTGAAGCTGGGTGTGGTGGTGCACACCTGTAATCCCAGCATTCAGGATGCTGAGTCAGGAAGATCCTGTAAATTCAAACTCACCCTGTGCTAAGCAGTGAGTTCCAGGCTAGCATGGACTATTTACATATTTCCAGTGAAGAAAAAGTAATATTGACACTGTCATCATTATTTCATAATGATAAGATTGACAGTCTGGGTGTGGTCGTGTGTGCCTGTAATCCCTGTAATACTGAGGCTGGAGGATCCTGTAAATTCAAGGTCAACTTGTGCTACATAGTTAGTTCAAGGCTAATTTGGACTACATAGTGAGACTCTCAAAACAAAAAGAGTGAATCCTCAACACAAATGAAGCCAGAAATGGTCACATTTTGCCACAAAATGAAAGGTGGAGTAGATGTTATGCAGCAACTGTGATGTCACTCAAAAAAAGTATTGGCCAATGGTTGTGTTTTACTCAGTCCTAAACATGTTGGGCGTAGTTTTATAGTTTACAAAGAAAATTAACAAGCACAAAATGTCACGGAGACATTTTCTTAGAGAATTAGTACTGGGATTGGTAAATGATCAATTACAGCAGAGCAAGAACAGTATGTATCTGTCCAAAGAACTCCACAAAAGAATTCTGGAGCAGACTGGTGAACAAACAGGTGAAACAATACAAGAACATCCAAAGAAACAGGAAGACCAGCAAGATGTCAAGTATGTTATACCAAAGAAGATAGGAAAACAAAACACATGCTTTCAGTGTAAACGATACTTGTGTGTATGGAACATGCTATTCTCATCTGTGAAAACTGCCTTAGGTGTGATAATTAAAGATTATTTTTGTGGTAGAGTTTTATTTGTATTTTCACTGTAGCTCACTTAGGAAGTTATTTCTGCTATTACTTTTTAGATTTAGTAAGGAAACAGTTGATGTTGAAAATGCTGATGTTTATTCTAAATACTCATTACATGTTAAAATTTAATATTTTATCAATAATTTACTTTCCTGTTAAGTACACATTTCTTTAATATAAAACTCTCAAAATTAATAATTCATCAAGGGAAATACTTCTAAAAATGTGAGCTTCATATACCTACCATAATGTGCCATTTAAAAAATTTCCTGTGATGCTCCAGGGTTGAGGCTCTAATCTCTATAAGAAACAAATGATACAAGATTTTTAATTTATGGGCTCCCTTTAGATAAATGAAATATTTAAAATGCAACAGATAATGTAATTTTTAAATATGGAATTCTAGGAATTATCTAAATAAACTGATGGCTGTCCTACTTAGAATTTTAAATATAAAAGTTTAAAGGCAAAATTAATATAAACACTTTGAATATTTTATGAGATTCATGTAATGGTTAGATAGTTTAATAACTACATTGGACTTTTCCTCAGGATTTAAATTTTGTATAATAATTATCATCTGTGGCACCGAATTTATAGATATAGACCATATTTGATTCTTTTTGTAGTTAAATAGTTTCTTTGGTCTATATCTTCTGTATTTCAAGGAATTTCAGAAAATTCAGTAAGCAGTGATCTAGTATCAAGACTCCACTTTATTTTCTACTGAAATGATCAAAGATTTCATTCTATAGATGGGATTTGAGAAGGGGTGGGTGAAGACTAGTAAATAAGTTCTTTTAAATTTATGGTGTGTTGCTATAGTTGTTAGTTATTGTTTCTCCAACTTCAGTCTACCTCTGATACGTTGTAGAGATAATATGTATTTGAAGGAGTCTATAAATGCAAAGCTACATTAGAGATAACTTTTTTTTTTTTTATGGTTTTTTGAGACAGGATCTCACTATGTAGTTCAGACTGCTCTGGAACTCACTGTGTGGCCCAGGCTGGTCTCGAACTCTCAGTGATCCTCCTGCCTCAGCTTCCGGAGTGCTGGGATTACAGGCTTGCGCCACCATGCCCCGCTCATTAATGATAACTTATTAATAATCAGTACTACTGGCTTTCATTAGGACACTTCCGTATATTTTTCTGCTTTATATAAATTTCTAGAAAATGTGGCTTCACTTCCAATGAAATGTGAATCTCTATATGTGTGTATTTTAAATGTCTTATTTAATAAATCCCTATGGGTATATGAAACAATATGAGTGTATAAGTTGGATAAATTCTCTCAATTATTAATACTCAATTATTAATTAGACTAAAAGTTATATTTAACAGCATAATACTATCTCATAGTTCACATAGGTACCATTCAGTTGGAAAGTTTATTTTGCTTAGAGATAAAGAGTTCGATTCAAATTTTTGTTCTTTTGCTACCTCTTGACATCAGTTACTTTAATAAGGGGTATGATTCTTATGTAGTAAACTCATAAATTAAAAAAAAATTAATCTCATTTTTGTCTTTTATTTGCATCTCACTTCTTCCCTGAATTACAGTTCATATTTCCAGGTATCTAAGAGATCTTCGTGCCTGGAATCAGAAAGGCTTTGACACATAACAATGATATAAAATCTCTAGTGTTTAAGGCACTATTTTCATTGACTTGCCTCATCAATAGGCTTATTCAGCTTCACCAAGTCTAGTCCTTCTTGTGTTTTCAAATGATACTGGAAGACTTCCTCTTTGCATCACCAGTGTTTTTGCACTATTAGGCTTTAGGCCTGTGTTTTTAACTTTTCTGCCAAACTTTCACTCCTCTCATTTGCCCTACATATCATTATTTAAAGCAAAACAAATCTATTTACAACTGTTTTTCATCTAAAACTCTTCAGTGGCTTTTCTATCACCTTTAATATAAAGTTCAACTATTGAGTGTAGCATATTAGTCCTTCCCTAAATGATTCTGCCTTACTCTTCCAACTTCATCTTCACTTATATCTGCAGTGCATATACTTCCTAGTACTATATGCTTTACTGTAGCCACGAATCACAATATCTTGGTATCCCTCAAGTTTATGTAATTCTGAGATAGCATGAACTTTATTTACTCTTGGTATAGTCTTCCTGGAATATCATTTTCCCCTCAGTTTCTCTTCTACTAGTGCCACAATTCATAATCCTCATAAATAATAAAATTTGGGGTTTTTTGAGAAAAGTCTTTTGGTGTTCTCATATGGGTCTATTAACTAATTATATTTAATTTTTGAAAATTGTATTTAATTTTGGAAGTAGGATTTTTTATTAAACTATAGTAGTGAAGGACATCTATTTTCAATATTTATTAGTTTTAATGAGAATGTCAGATCACAGTCTTAGATTATGTACTTGTATTAATACAACGCGATAAATAGTTTTGAAATATGTATATGAACTATATTTTCCAGCCAGGCTTGGTGGCACATGCCTGTAATCCCAATACTCTAGGAAGCTGAGACAGGAAGATTGCAAGTTCAAGTTCAGCTTGGGCAAGTTAACGACTCACTAAAATCCTGTCTCCAAAAAAAAAAAAAAAAAATAGGGCTGGAATCATTCTGCAGTACTGCAAAAAATTCATTTTAATGTATACAAATGAATATAAAATACAAAATATATTTATATCTACAAGTGGAATATATCTACAAATGAAGGTACACAAATAGAAAGAAGTTGAGTTTGATACTGAAAATACTGCCCTCTAGCATTTGTGGGAAATAGGCAATTCAGAAATACTGGAATATACTGAATATTCTCTTTGTCACCAGTAGAGTGAGTCCTTGTACAAGGAAATAACCTTTCTTTAAGAAAGTTGAAATCTTCACCATTTTTCTTAGAAATTAAATGAATACATTTCATTAATAAACCACATCACATTTTTCCTGATTATGTAAAAGTAATTCTGGTCCTTTGTTGGAAATTCAGAGGAGCAAGATAGGCATGGTGGCACACACCTGCAATCCCAGCACTTGGGAGGTGGAGGCAGGAGGATCACTGTGAGATCAGGGACAGCCTGAAATACATAGCAAGATCTTGTCTCAGAAAAGAAAAATAAAAATAATGGAAATCAGGGAAAATGACTATCAGCGTTTTAATATATATCTTTCTAGTATATGTTAATTTTAAAATCAAAATTGGAACCACTGTACATACTATTTTGTTAGATGATTAAAAAATAGTATTTTGCTATTCCTTGGAAACTAAGGCACATAGACTTCCTTTAAAACATATTGACTGTGGAGGAAAAAAATCAAGAAGATTGTGGCTGTCAGTTGTGTTTTCCTGAAACATTAATTCCTTAAGGGAAGAAAAAAGTAATATTTATTGATACTTAGTAAATATTGAGTGAAATATTTAATGAAACCAACAATTTGGATCAATAATTCATTAGAAGAGATTGAAATTAGGAAGACGATAGTTTTCTTATTTTTTTTAAATTTTCCATTCTATATTTGATATATCTTAGAAACTTCCACTTTTACATAAGCATATGATTTTTATAAAGTATTTTTGAACAGTAACAATGGGCTTCAGCAGGAATGTTTTTCAGGATAGTTTCAGGCATATACAAACTTCACTGAGTTAAAAAGATGCATTGCATGTCAATTTTATAAACGTCTATTGGTAAGCTATCATTTTCTTTTTATATTTGGTCTAATATACCTCTAAGTTTTATAGAAAGCTTTGTCTTAG